TTAGCAAGTTGGGTTTTAACAGGAAAACATCAGCGGAACATAGTAAATCAAGTAAGATTTGTGGCAGTTAGCAAGTTGGGTTTTAACAGGAAAACATCAGCGGAACATAGTAAATCAAGTAAGATTTGTGGCAGTTAGCAAGTTGGGTTTTAACAGGAAAACATCAGCGGAACATAGTAAATCAAGTAAGATTTGTGGCAGTTAGCAAGTTGGGTTTTTAACAGGAAAACATCAGCGGAACATAGTAAATCAAGTACGATTTGTGGCAGTTAGCAAGTTGGGTTTTAACAGGAAAACATCAGCGGAACATAGTAAATCAAGTAAGATTTGTGGCAGTTAGCAAGTTGGGTTTTAACAGGAAAACATCAGCGGAACATAGTAAATCAAGTAAGATTTGTGGCAGTTAGCAAGTTGGGTTTTAACATGAAAACATCAACGGAACATAGTAAATCAAGTAAGATTTGTGGCAGTTAGCAAGTTGGGTTTTAACAGGAAAACATCAACGGAACATAGTAAATCAAGTAAGATTTGTGGCAGTTAGCAAGTTGGGTTTTAACAGGAAAACATCAACGGAACATAGTAAATCAAGTAAGATTTGTGGCAGTTAGCAAGTTGGGCTTTTAACAGGAAAACATCAGCGGAACATAGTAAATCAAGTAAGACTTGTGGCAGTTAGCAAGTTGGGTTTTAACAGGAAAACATCAGCGTCAATGCTTGTATAATAAAATATTTTCACTGTTTACTTTGAACGGAGCCTAAGCTCGGTAAGATTGGCCTGACATCTTTCCACATTTGCACTCGTAGTTACAGCAAAAAACCTCTGTACCTCAGACAATCCTACTGTAGGAGACTATAACAGACGCACACGCAAAACAATGACTGCCTAACACAACTTCAAAAGAACTAGAAAACTTACTGCTGTCCTTTGTTGAAATGCAAGTACGTTTTTTTTTTTTCTTATAGAATTTTAGAATCTCGAGTTATCTTACAATCATAACTGCATTGACGTCCTTCATTTTAAAGTGATAGACTAGAGGGAAGACAGATAGTCAACAGCACCCACTGCAAACTCTTGGGCTACTCCTTATTACCGAATAATGAGATTGACAGTCACAATGTAACACTTCCGCAGCTGAAAGAGAGAGCATGTTCAATGACGGGTTTCCATCCCGCGACTCTTAGATTGTAGGCCGAACGCTTTAACCACCAGGTCATGCCAGACACTCTGTATAAAAGTGGGTGTTAGTAGACACTTACATACACACACGTAAATATTTCACTCTGTAACTATGATAAAATGGGCGTTAATATACACTTACATACACACACGTAAATATTTCACTCTGTAACTGTGATAAAATGGGTGTTACTATACACTTATATAACACACGTG